CATCTCATAACATGGATGAAACTGGAGGACATTATGCTGAGTGAAATAAGTCAATCACAAAAGGACAAATATTGTATAAAACCTCTACTATAAAAACTCACAAAAAAGTTTACACACAAAAAGAAACAATCTTTGTTGGTTACGAGGGATGGGAGGGCTGCGGGGGGGAATACTAAATAGACAATAAATAGGTAGTAACTTTGGTGAAGGGTAAGACACTACACAATGCTGGGGAACTCAGCACAACTTGTACAAGGAAAGGACATGGAAGCTCCATAGACGCATACAAACTCCCTGAGGGACTTAATTGCTAGGTGGAGGGCTGTGGGGACCATGGTCTTGGGGAACATCTAGCTCGATTGGCACAACACAGTTTATAAAGACAATGCTCTACATTCTACCTTGGTGAGTAGCATCTGGAGTCTTAAAAGCCTGTGAGCAGCCATCTAAGGTACTCCACTGGTCTCACCACTTCGGGAGCAAGGGAGAATGAAGAAAACCAGATACAAGGGAAAGATTAGTCCAAAGGACTAATGGACCACAACTACCACAGCCTCCACCAGACTGAGTCCAGTAAAACCAGATGGTGCCTGGCTACCACCATTGACTGCTCTGACAGGGATCACAGAAGAGGGTCCCAGACAGAGCTGGAGAAAAATGTAGAACAAAATTCTAACTCACAAAAAAAGACCAGACTTACTGGCCTAACAGAGACTGAAGAAACCCCAAGAGCATGGCCCCCGGACACCCTGTTAGCTCAGTAATGAAGTCACTCCTGAGGTTCACCATTCAGCCAAAGATTAGACAGCCCCATAAACAAAACAAGACTAATGGGGCACAACAGTCCAGGGACAAGGACTAGAAGGCAGGAGGAGAGAGAAAAGCTGGTAACAGGGAACCCGAGGTTGACAAGAGACAGGGTCAACATGTCATAGGGTTTGTTAACCATTGTCATAAAACAATACGTGTACTTACTGTTTAATGAGAAAATATTTGTTCTGTAAACCTTCATCTAAAGTACAATTTTAAATTGCAATAAAAAAAAAAAATATAATCTCTTTTCCCTGAATAATCAAACAATGCCATACACACTAAAGCACATAAGAAAATATAAAGAGTCATCCCATTAGCCAGGACTGAATAACCAACAAGTCTGTCCATCTGCAAAATGATACTTTCTGATAAGCATTGTACTTCCAAAACTATAAATTTTCAAGACCCATGTAACCTACTCTTAGTTTTGCTATTTACAAATAATATTCTCTCTCAAGATATAAAGGAATAAAAATAACATATAAAGCAATCAGTCTTCCTTTGTCACTATATAAGATCCTTAATTGTCCACTACATTTTTGTATTTTATGAAGTTGTTTTGTTTTAATTTCACAGTGATACTGCACTAAGTAAAAGGAGCCTTGTTTACATATTTGTTAAGATCTATTTCTTTCTAATGGTGAGAAAATATTATTGGCTGGTAAGAATTAAAAGCTAAATGTTTTTAACTTTTTTGATGAAACGCCTTCCAAATATACCTTACGTCTGAAGAGAATTGCTTTTGGAATCGTATAGACATTATTTTGCTTCCTTAAAAAACTGAGCATAATTCAAGTATATTTTCTAAATGTTGACTTTATTTAGCAAAAGTCTCATTTTTCCTATAGTATTTTAGATCATTCAAGTTATATGTAGAAATGCTTTATGGTTCCATAATAAGCTGGGATAATGTGAAAAATATTTAACAACTAGAATGATACAGGTGCCCAATCATCAGCATGGATGAAAGCTAAAAGTAACTTGTATAGCTACATGCAGGTAGAAGCTGAATGTCAGTCTAGATGACAAGCAATAATCTCCCACTTGCAGAACTGGAAAAACATTAAGCATAGTTAGGGAATATGCCTTTAGTTTAATACTGACACTATTGTATCTAGCTATTTTTATTTAACTCAATAAACCCATTGCCATCAAGTCCATTCCAAACTCATAGAGACTCTGTAATTTCTTTTAAATCCCACGGTAGACATAAGGTTTCAAATATCCTCAACTATCATATAGAAATAAGTAATAATGTATATCATATCTGATGATTCTCACAGCAGCAGAATGAAATCTCCTTTATTTCTTGAATACATGCATACTAATATTCCATGCATATGTATGTGTGTGTGTGAATATATCTTTTAGTCTTGCTTACTCACACAAAATATAAAAGTTATGGTATCAATCATTTCACCTAAATTGTGCCAGCAGTACAAACGGGACTTTGAATTTTTTGCGGAGAAAGGTGTTTCTAAGCAAAACATAATCAGAAAATCAGGACAAGTCTCTGGAAAATGACCTTGAATTGAAAAAATAAAATTTTTATACATTCTGAGAAATTCTGGGGCTGCCAAGTACTATTAGTGATGGATGGATGGATGGATGGATGGATGGATGGATGGATGGATGGATGGATGAATGAATGGATGGATGGATGGATGGATGGATGGATGGATGGATGGGTGGATGGATGGATGGATGGATGGAAAGATTGACCAAACTTACAGGCAGACACTGTACTAATTTCTTTGCGTAGATTATCTCACTTAATAGTCATAGAAACCTTATGTATTTGGTATGAATATCCTCATTTTAGAAATTAACAAAATGAAGAACAGAGATCTCAGACCTTATTGTCTGACTCTACTCTTTAGTATTATATCAGTAGCTACTAGTAGAAAATTATAAGAATTCCTGGTGACACAGTGGTTAAGTGCTTGGCTGCCCATAGAAGTACTGGCAGTTCAAACCGACCCACTCCTCAGGAGAAAGACCTGGTGAACTGCTCCCATAAAGATTACAGGCTAGAAAACCCTATGCGGCAGCTCTACTCTGTCAGTTTGGGTCACTCTGAGTCAAAAATTGACTAGACAGCACACAACAACGGTGGAAAATTAAACGCTTAAAGGATAACTAATTAATTATGAAATGAAAATTGATTAACTATGATTGTGGGAATGCAAAATGGTACAGCTGCTGTGGAAAACAAGCAGTTCCTCAAAAAGTTAAACAATTACCATATGACCCAGCAATCGCAACCCTAGGTATATATCCAGAAGAGTTGAAAGCAGGAATGCAGAAAGAACCTGTATATTAATGTTCATTGCAGTGGTATTCACAATAGCCAAAAGGTAGAAATAACCTAAATGTCCATCAAGAGATGAATGGATAAACAAAATGTGGTATATACATACAATGGAATATTACTCAACCATAAAGAGACATGAAGTGCTGATACATGCTCTACATGAATGAACCTTGGAAACATGCTGAGTGAAATGTCAGTCATTTCACTCAGCATAATGCATAGCATAATATATGAAATAGGCAAATGTATAGAGACCAAAGCTTACTAGTAGTTAACAGAGGTAGGAGGTAGGGGGAAAACGGGGAGACATTCCTTAGGAGGCACTGAGTTTCTGTTAATGGTGGTGTAATAATTCGGAAAAGGATGAAATGGTTGTACAACATGATGAATGTACTCATTGTCGCTGAGTTACACATGTAAAAATCGTCAAATTTGCAAATGTTGTGTTATATATACTTTTATTACAATAAAAATAAATAGAATAAAGTTCACTAGATAAGGGGGAAAAAATGATTATCTATGTACATGTATTAGTCTCAGCCTTGATCTCCTATGAAGTCCAAAATCTCTGAAATTTGATTAAGACTATAATAATAATCCCAAGCATGTGAGATGATTCTACTTTTAGTTGTACTTTTCCCAAATATGTAAGGATGCATAATTAATTCATAAAGTTTTGAATTCTATAAAAACCCTCTATCTGTTTGCTGGCTATCTCCATTTCTCTGCAAATCAAAAGGGATCCACCAACTTTCCTGCCTAGACTATGAAGTTTCTACTGCCCAGGCCTGTTTGCTTTTATCAATTCCTGCCCAATATCATGTCCATTCTTTCATCAGCACAGCCTGAAATCTTAAGTCACTCAATGAAGTTATTAAAGTCCAGAATATTTTCAAATTGGAGAATATGACTTCATTTCTACCTCTTTAGAGTACCTTCTTTACATTTATAGAGCACTTAACAATTACTAAGAAATCTCTAGCAAGGGCAGGTTTTAGTTCTTCATGGATGGATAAATTAAGAGGTTAAATGCCTTGTCAAAATTCATTTAGCTAGTGAAAAGGACTAGAACTGAGGTCTTCTGAATTCAAGGCTAATATCTTTTCACTGACTATTTTAAGGATTAATTTTTAAAAATATTTTGGATGTAAACAGACTTTTTAACTAATTAAATAAACTCGTGAAATCAAATAAAGAAATAAAATAATTAAACAGACAAGTCATGCGTTTATTAACATCATCAGTACCTGGATATATGTGATCACTCAAGCCACATTTGCAGTGGCTTCAAAAAAACACCCAGCAAGACAAGTGAATTATTGATCAGAATATTGTCTAAGGTAATTGACAAAGAAATGACTGAGAAGAAAATTTACCATCAGTAAATGAGATTCAAGAACCCATTTCTAAACAGCATTCATGAAACATTAGAGTATCAATGTTTAAATAGTATTGTTTATAACCATTTTAAAAGTCCACTAACATTTTGAATGTATGGCATTATTTATCAATATTTCCAAGACAAATATTTGATCTCTTTTTCCTTCTAGAAAATGCAAAATGTTTAGGGTGTAGATTGTGCATGTTGTCAGCAACTGTTTTATACACGTTTAGGTAAGACATGGGTTAGTAGTTAAATCTATACTAGAAACAATTGGCTATATAAATAACTAACAGGTGACAGCTTACACAGCATTGTTGGGAAAGAATACCATGCAGTAACTACGTCTGGTCTTACCTTCTCGGGAGGACTCTCCACTGTGGTTCCATAAATATTTCATGAACCAACATAAAGTAATATGCTAATGATTATTTACCCAGTGAGCAGGTGTGCTCTCTGATGCTTTTTCATCTCTGGTATACCTTTGACGTGGGATCAAGGTTAAGCCATTTTGAATTGTTCTTTCCTTGCTTCTCTACCCCCACAGCTTCACCTGAACCTAAGATGGTGAGCGAGAGTCATCATGAGGCCCTGGCAGCCCCGCCAGTCACGACAGTTGCGACTGTTCTAGCAAATAATGCCACAGAGCCAGCCAGTCCTGGAGAAGGAAAGGAAGATGCATTTTCTAAGCTGAAGGAGAAGTTTATGAATGAGTTGCATAAAATTCCATGTGAGTATTATATGTTATTTTTAAGGTAAAAATAAATGGTTGAAATGCAAAGAAAGCAGCATTCGTCTTAAAATACTAAAAACTTGCATTTAATTTTTTTATTATTGGAATACTAATGTTCCAAAATAAAATGAAATATTCTTGGAAATAGAATATTCTCCTTATTATTAAGTCTTTAAATATACTTTATGAATGAAAATCCAGTGTATAAAAATAATATGCATCTTGTGTTTAATGTAGCTTCTGTTTTTTATCTTCTTCAATGCTGATTTTCTCTCAAGAACGTCAATGCTCATGAGTTGTGTTGTGTGTATTTTGGATTTTTTTTAATGAAAACATTCCATTGTAGCAATTATTCCTAAGCAGTAACTAAAATCTACTTTCCTAATATTGGAAGTTTGATTTTCTTTTGTTTGTTAACATTTTAAAATATTTTGCAGAGTTTTTGAAAATTATCTTTGTTGTCACCAGAAAAAAAAAATGTGCACCTAAGTTTATATGTATGAGTGTAGCGCTAAGTTCAAATTATGGCATTTGATTTAAATCTTAAATCGTAGGTTGGTCTTTATTTGTCAGAGTTTTTTGTGGAACTTGTAAATCTTAAGTTATTGAGTGGAAAACAAAATGTTTCAACCATTTAGCTCTGATTATTCTAATAAATTCTCTTCTAATTCTAGAACATTGAAGTTTCACATCAATGTTTACAAACCTAAGAAAGCTATTTTTTGTTTTCTATAATCATTATGTAATGCTGCCACCAGAAAACTAGAGGATCTTAAAAAATCAGCTATCCTATTCATTCAACAAATGTTTATTGAGCACCTACTATGTACTAGGCACTTTTCAAGTGCTACAAGCTTTTATTCTAGTGGGAAATAGGAATAATAAATCAATAAAGAGATAAATACATATAGTATGTCATGTGGTAATATAGCAAGAAAAATAAAGGAGAGTAACTGAGATAGGGATGAGATAGAGGGTAAAGGAACGCTATTTATTTTTAGCATGATCAGGATGGTTTCCTTGATAAAAGTACCTGAAGGAAGTAGGGGAGTGAACTATCATAGAACCTGGGAAATGTGGAAAAAAGAACTTAGACAAATTTGGCTGAAGCAGCAAGAAAACTACTGTGCTCCAAGTGGAATGAACAAGGCGGAGAGTGGCAGAAGACTGATTTGGATGTAGTAGAGGGCCATATCACCTGGGCCTGGTGGATCGTTCTAAGAAATTTAGCTTTTACTCTGAGTAAAATAAAATGCTGGTGGAAGGTTCTGAGCAGAGGTGTCCCGTGATCTGACTTAGGTTTTTTTAAAGATCACTCCTGCCACTGTGTTGAAAATGGATTGTAGATGGGCAAAGGCAGAAAATAAAGGACTAGTTAGCAGGCCATTGCAATAATCCAGATAAGAAATGATAAGATTTGTAAGAAAATTATTCTATAAGAACACTGAGAAACTAAAAACACAAGGACTCAAGTTCTTTCTTATCCCTCAGTAATTAAAACTTGTGGATTTTTCTGTCCATTTTTTAACAAATGCAAGTTCATCTGAGAGACTCCTAGCACAGTTGGCAGTAACTGGCATTCTCAGCAGGAAGATCCACAACTAAATAGAGATGAAGATGGCCCAACAGATCAAGCCCTAGGATGGGAACTACAAGATGTCGGTTCTCTTCCTCGTTCTGCTGCTGAGCTGATGGGCTGATTTATAAAATTGGATATTTTTGATATTACTTTGAGGTCATAGCTACAAGGCAGAAACCAAATTCATGTATCATAGGTGCAAACTCTTACTTAATAGTTTGTCAAAATGTTTGCTTTCAGAGAAACTTGCTATAGCGAGGCAGAAAAAGTAATGAATAACACCAAGGCAAATGCATCTTCTGTCTTGTCTTCAGTGACATCTTCTCTGGAAGAGTAAACAACATGAGAGATGTGGAAATGTTGATAACTGTGGAATGGAAATGTTCTGTCTGCCTGGAACATTCCTCCCCAGATATCTGCACAACTCATTCACTCCTTTAGGTCTCTGCTCAAATTCCATCTTCTTAGTTAGAATTTCCCCAACCATATTATTTAAAATTGCAATCCATTCATCCTACCCATCCTAGTTAGCATTTCTGGTGGATTGTTCTAAGGAGTTCTGGGGTTCCAAGGAACCCCATCCTTGCTGTATTTCTCACTGTATTACATAGCACCATTTGCAATACTATGTATTTCATTTTTTGGTTTTAAATTCCTCTTCTTCCTCCAAAAGAATGTAAGTTTCATGAGGGCAAGAATTTGGATCTGTTTTAAGCGCGCTGTATCCCCAGAACTTAGGGTGGTGCCTAGACATGTGAGATACTCAGTAATCTATTTATTAGCTGAATGAAAAAAAATGAATGAATATATGAATGCCAATTTAATTTATATCCTAGACCACTCCTCTTTGAGGCTTTAGGATGCTGTCAAATTAAAGCATATAAAAACGTACAGTTTCTAACGCTAAGGGAAGTATCATTTCACTGCTTAACTATGTCTCTCACGTTGAAAAAGCAAATTGTTTCCATCTTTTTAGTGCCTATACTATCTTCTTAGCCTTTCCCAACTGAGGGCCAACTATTACCTTATTTTCTCTTTCCTGTTCATCAGCTGGAAAAAATTAGCTGGAAAAAATATCTATGAAACTCTTCTTTCTTTTCCTTAACTTTACCTTGCCAATGTCATTTCATTCCTTCCCAAGCCACTGACCCTTCCCCATGTTCCATTCTGGGCAGGACATCAGACTAGATAGTTTGTCTATTCCTCCATGGAGATTTGCTTTTGACCAACTATCAAAAATGATGTCAGGGGATCTGGATAACTCCTGTAAAGATATTATGTTACTAGCTCTCTCCCTGATTCAACAGAAAGAAACAAGTGAAATACCTAAAATCTTAAAAATGATACAGTAAATAAGTGTTATAAAAAAAACTGTATCATGAATACAGCAGTGCAGTTTTATTAAAAATGTGTAACAATGTATATTTTACACCTTCATTTTAATCTGTCACAATTTTTACTGCTTGCGTAATTGAAATTTGTAATGGGATTTATACACAGAGCAACACTAAACAAAAATAACAGCTATCCCTAAAATCAAATTCCTCTAGGAGCGTATGTTGTATGAAGGTTATCACTTTTGACTTGGCATAATATAGTGTGATGCTAATGACAGGTAACAAATTAGAATATTAATCGATTTCAGTCTCTGAACTAAATCTTGGCTACCTGGCAGATGTGGTTTTTTTTGCAAAATTGATAGCAAACAGCTTTAGTCTGTCACTTGAAATTCCTACTTGTGAGAAGAGAGGTGTCACAATGGCAAGGAGCGTGCATGTCATTAGTTGGGTAATCTGCACAGTCCAGCAACGGAACATATTCAAACCAAATTGCCTGATGATATCATCCATAACACCACAGGGCTTAAAATAAAAAAGGAAAAGGAAATGGTAAATGCTGAGCATTTTTATCTTTCAAGTCATTCTGCACACTGTTATCTAAATGAAGCACACAAGTTTTTTCAGAATGTTTCTCTATTTTGCATCTTTGATTTTACTATGACTAGGACCATGGTTGGTTTGTAAAGCATGAACTCATGTCATCCAAATAGCTGTGATTAAGGTTTTGATATTTATGAGCTTCTTGGAGTGCACCTTTCCTTACGCTGCAGGTAAAAAACATCACAAAAGTTTAGTAAAGCAAAAAGACAGTTTTATCTGGCATATATTCAAAAAGACAAAAGTGGGAAATTGGACAAGCGTGCTGCCAGAGCCATGTCTGTCTGAGTCCAAAGAAACTACAGAATAAGCAAGAATGGGAAAACGGAGAAGCATGCTGCCAGAGCCATGTCTGCCCGAGTCCAAGGAACTTTACGGAGCCATCAGTATATAGTAACATTACAAACGGGCAAAACCATTGAAAGCTTCACCTTTTCACAGATTGGCTAGAAACTGTGATCCTACATTTTGAATTGTTTTTCTTAACAATCATTGGTACAGGTTTCAGTAACAACAGTCAGAACGGTCTTCGTTGGTCCAACTATTTTCTATTCACTAGATGCTAATAGAAAAAGGTAAGAGTGGAAAGTCTTTAGTGTTCTGTTTGAATGGCTTATGTGAAAGTCCCCTAAAAGATATTTTCCAGGATTATGCTATCCATTGTCTTTATGCCTCAGGACCCAGTTGGTGTGTCCTTGTGAGTCCTTGTGAGTCCAGCTCCAGCTGGGTCACATTCTCTATGCTCAAGGACAGGGAATAGTGATTCCAATATTATTTCCTAAATCACTTAAGCACAGCAGAAAGCCAAATAGCCAGAAGGTGGGATAAAAGTTGTTGTCTACTTCATGTAGAAAAATTATTGGATAGACAGTATAATACAAGAATTAAAAGCATAGGCTCTAGATATAGCCTGTACGAGTTCGAATCCTAGTTCCACTACATATGAGTTATGTTACCTTGGACATATAACTTGGTCTTTCTGTGTATCAGTTTCCTCCTGTATAAAATGGGGATGAAAAGAATACCCACATCATAGGGTTGTTGGGGAAAGGCATCAATGCATATAAAGTATTTAGCAGAGTGCCTGGCACAAAGTAAGAATTGTGTAAATGTTAACTATTTCTAAACTCCAGCTGTTATTTTAGCAAGCCTATTTATATGTTAGAAAAGCCATCTATTCAGGTCAGTCATTCAAATTGAGAAAATTCTAAAAACTTTGTGCAAATGTGTGTTCGTTTTATTCTTTAAACCTACTCCACCAATGCTTGTATTAGGGAAGGCAAATCCCCTCTTGGTGTTTCCTTTTCCCACTTTCTCCAATAATTTTCCTTTTTTCTCTCCTGTAACTTTATTTTCTCACTTCTGCCTTCCCTTTAGCCTACACATATGCTAATGTTTCACTATCTGAAAGCGCCTAGCACAATGCTGAGTACCTTGGTTGCCTAAGAAATGGCAGTTTTCTTCCTTCATGCTTTAAGAAT